GAGTATTGTATCTTGTATATTGGTTTCTTCAAGAAATAGAATTTAAGCTCCTTGTGAGAACAGAACTGAGGTTACCAGAGGTGGGAGAGGGAGAGGGGGGATTAGAGAGTTTTTGGTAAAGGGCCACAAAAAAATGATTACATCCTGTAATAATGAATATACTCATTATCCTGATTTGACCACCACATATTGTCACAGTTACTGATATTCAATTCTGTACCCCAGAAACATGTATAATCAATTATGTTTCAACTAAAAAAAAAAAAATTTAAGCTCCTTGAAATTAGGTTTGTTGATATGAAATACTGAAATATAAGGCCTTCAAAATTTTGTAATTATATTTTGTGTGGGAACTTTGTTTAGATCATGATATGTTTTAAAGCTAGAGAAAGTATGGTGATGAGTCTTTCATTTTAAAGATATACTTCTGATTATTATTGGATTTTCAGTTTGAATTTTTGCTGTCATCATTTTAAAGGTAAATCTGAGATCTGTCTATTCTGATGCAGGTGTTAAACCACCCATAGGAATTCTGACAGTTGAGTCATTTTAAATGGGAAACTTTTTAAAAGTGGTACCATCTGGATCCAGCCTTGGGATTGGGGTCCTTGGTTTACAAACAAATCAGACTGGGAATTGGTGGTTTCTGATGACTAGTAGCAGTAGAATCCCAGGCAGATTGGTGATGGTGGGTTTTTTCTTTACTTTTTTCATTATACAAATTTAAAATGCAACAAAACAATGTACAACCCTATACCCAACATCTTAGTGTAAAAATTATTAGCATTTTGCTATATTTGTCCTTTTTTGTAGAAATACTTTAAATTAGACATTATGTCATTTTCATCCTTATATATTTTAGTGTTTATCTCTAAAAAATTATAAATCTATACATAACCATAATATTATTGTTACAGTTTAAAAACTTTATTGTTTAATACCATCTGATACCCAGCCCTTAACCAGTTGTGTCCCAAATATCCTTAGAATAGCTTTTTACTTTTTTTTTCTTTTCAGTCTAACTCAGAATCCAGACAAAATCCAGCTATTGTTTTTATGGCTAAATCTATTTTAATCTAGAACTGTCTCACCCCCCCCCCCCCCCCCCCCCCCCCCCCCCCCCCCCC